CACCCTCAAGGTGAGTACTGGCTGAAAGTGTTTATTAGATTGTATGTATGTATATATGTACAAAACCTTGGCTGTGTGTGTCAGGTTGTATTGCTGGCTGATGGGTTGCTGACAACTGTGATGAATGCAGCTGTTGACATTCGGGATTAATTTGCTAATCGTGCATGCAATTCTAGGTTTTTTTCGTCATCTACTTAAAATCTTGCATACATCCATATGTACATATATGTATGTATGTATTAACTTTCTCTCCATCTTATCCTCCCACTCCTAATGCACAGCAAACACCATCACACACTGCCGAGCAGCAATGCGCGACGTCACTCTTTCGGCAATTGGCGGCAGACAAGCGAACGTCATCACCACAAGAACGCGGCACTCAGCACACCGGATGAGGTGCCGAATATGATGGCCCCACGACCGCCTGTCTTATCACCAAATAAATATCGCGGTTTGCATCGTCGAAGAGGTGAGTGCTGTGTTTATTTTTTCTAGTTTTGGTTTTAGATATTTAGAATAGATACATATCTGTGTATCTGACTTGTGGCTTAAAAACATAACGTACATAATATACCATATATTATAGATAATATGTGCAAGGAGAAGGGCGTGTCACATAGAGTAGGGGTGAAGAAGTATGCCAGGGACCGTAACAGATAAAACTTTTATTAAAAAAATCGCTCTTTAACAATTATTTTTTTACTTTCATTTAATTACTCCTTAAATAACCGTTATTTCTGACTTTTATTTTATAAATCCAAAATAACAACTTCTTTTAAATTTTTTCTGAATAATCTGCAAATAACAGTTATTTTTGATTTTTAAATTATATGCCTTAGATAACAGTTATCGAAGACTTAGAAAAGTTGTAAATAAAAATCAGTCACTGAGCTTTATTTTTGAAATCATGCTTACAAAAGTCGTTTGTATAAGTCGTAGTAAACTTTTGTTTCCCAACACCTTCTTACCTGCGAAAAATGTTAATGACCTTTATACGAATGATTTAAAGAATAAAAAGTCGGTAACTGAGTTTTATTGATAGCTTTTACAAGTAAAAGTTACTGACTGATTTTTATTGATGACTTTTATAAATAAGACATATAATGAGACATATAATATAAAAATCAAAAATAATTGTTACTTTGGATTTATAACATACAAATCAAAAATAATTGTTATACTTTTTAATTTTGCATAAAGATTGCAAATAAAAATTCATTTTCAAATTTGGGTATCGGTTAAAAAAGAAATCGATTGGTATGTATCACTTAGTAGTAGAACATTTTCTTCAGAGTGAATTTTTCCATGACAGTTTTCATCAATAACTGTTATGTTCGTTCCCTGATGCAGGCACNAAATAAAAAGTCGGTAACTGAGTTTTATTGATAGCTTTTAAAAGTAAAAGTTACTGACTGATTTTTATTGATGACTTAATTGTTATTTTGGTTTATAACATACAAATCAAAAATATTTGTTATACTTTTTAATTTTGCATAAAGATTGCAAATAAAAATTCATTTTCAAATTTAAGTATCGGTTAAAAAAGAAATCGATTGGTATGTATCACTTAGTATTAGAACATTTTCTTCATAGTGAATTTTTCCATGACAGTTTTCATCAATAACTGTTATGTTCGTTCCCTGATGCAGGCACTTATAAGTTCACAAAGTTTATTTTCATATATTTTTATATACATATGTTAAAGCTGATTGGTGGTTTGGATCGGTTTTCTGTAAATTTTCTGTGTTTGTGGTTGGTGTTGAGAGAGCTTAACGTTTTAAACTTTTTTTTGGAACACCCTAATGTACAAACATACTTACATAAGTACAGTCATAAGTAGGTGTGTAAACGTTGTGGAAATCAAAAATATAGCACATACAAAAATAATGCATTCACGTTTTTCTATGCTGAACTTTTGAAAATTCAAAAATTCATGTCTAAGGGTGCGTTCACACAGAAAACCAAGCGATGCCGAGCGAAGANCATATACATATGTTAAAGCTGATTGGTGGTTTGGATCGGTTTTCTGTAAATTTTCTATGTTTGTGGTTGGTGTTGAGAGAGCTTAACGTTTTAAACTTTTTTTTGGAACACCCTAATGTACAAACATGCTTACATAAGTACAGTCATAAGTAGGTGCGTAAACATTGTAGAAATCAAAAATATAGCACATACAAAAATAATGCATTCACGTTTTTCTATGCTGAACTTTTGAAAATTCCAAAATGCATGTCTAAGGGTGCGTTCACACAGAAAACCAAGCGATGCCGAGCGAAGAAAGACGGAGTAAAACGAACCACCAGGTGTTCACACGGAACGAGGCGGTGTGGAGCTGTTCTCACGGACTCGGCCTGCAAAGATACCACAAAACTTATCGCCAATGAAAAGCGGCAAAAATATTTAGTTAATTTTATTCAAAAGATTAGTTGCTGTATATGAACACTTTTTTTAATATACACAGCTACAGCATTTTGAAAGCTCCACTCCGCTCAGAACGGCTTCGCTCGGCTCAGCTCGACTCGGCTTTCTGTGTGAACGTACCCTAACTTTTACTTTTACATCACAATTTGGCTGCCGCATAACACCGTGGGACTTGAGCCACTCTGCCCGCCTGATTGATGAACAAGAAATTCCGCTACTGCCACAGCTTGAGTGCTTCTTTCGCGACTGTGATGCCGCATACCAACAACAATCCTTTGCGTCTGGCCGCAACAGCCAAGTGTNCATATTTACCCAATTTTATTCAAAAGATTAGTTGCTGTATATGAACACTTTTTTAAAATACACAGCTACAGCATTTTGAATGCTCCACTCCGCTCAGAACGGCTTCGCTCGGCTCAGCTCGGCACGGCTTTCTGTGTGAACGTACCCTAACTTTTACTTTTACATCATAATTTGGCTGCCGCATAACACCGTGGGACTTAAGCCACTCTGCCCGCCTGATTGATGAACAAGAAATTCCGCTACTGCCACAGATTGAGTGCTTCTTTCGCGACTGTGATGCCGCATACCAACAACAATCCTT